TCACGGGCGAGGGCTCCTCGCAAGTTCAGGATCTTCTGTTGCTCGACGTGACTCCGCTGTCGATGGGCCTGGAGACCGCAGGCGGTGTGATGACCAAGCTGATCGAGCGGAACACCACGATCCCCACCAAGAAGGGCCAAACGTTCACCACCTACGCCGATAATCAGCCGGGGGTGCTCATCCAGGTGTTCGAGGGCGAGCGCGCAATGACCAAGGACAACAACCTGCTGGGCAAGTTCCACCTCGATGGCATCCCGCCCGCCCCACGCGGCGTGCCGCAGATCGAGGTGACGTTCGACATCGACGCGAACGGCATCTTGAACGTGAGCGCGCAGGACAAGTCCACTGGTAAGTCGAACCAGATTACCATCACGAACGAGAAGGGGCGGCTGTCCCAGGCGGAGATCGACCGGATGGTGCAGGAGGCGGAGAAGTATCGCGCCGAGGACGAGACGGCCAAGCTCAAGATCGAGGCGAAGAACGGGCTCGAGAACTATTGCTTCACCATGCGCAACACCCTGCAGGAGGTGAAGCTCAAGGAGAAGTTTGAGGACGGGGACAAGGAGAAGATCGAGAAGGCGGTGCAGGATGCCCTTGACTGGCTTGACAAGAACCAGCTGGCCGAGAAGGATGAGTTCGAGGCTAAGCAGAAGGAGCTGGAGGGCATCGTCAACCCCATCATGATGAAGGTGTACCAGGCCGCCGGCGGCGGCGAAATGCCGGAGGGTGGCATGCCGGGCGGCGGCGGGAACGCACCCGGCGGCGGCGCGGGGCCCACCGTGGAGGAGGTGGACTAGCTAGCCCGCCCGTGCACCGCCCATTTTCGACGCAGGGGGGGGGAGGAGGATCTTTCCATGCGGAGGTGAGGGGGGCTGAGGAGGAGGAGGAGGAGGAGGAGGCTGAGGAGGAGGCTGAGGAGGAGGAGGAGTCTGAGGAGGAGGAGGAGGAGGAGGAGGAGGGGGCTGAGGTGGTGGGGCGGAGGGGGAGGGGCGGCGGTGGTGGGGCGGAGGGGGAGAAGGCTGAGGACGGCGTGCTTTGCCGCAGGCGCTGCGCGAGCGCCTACCCCGGTCTTTGAGCGCAGGCTGGGATGCGCCGTGCATCTTTTTGTTCGACCTGCTTGGCGCCTTCGGCTGCGGAGCAGGGCCGACCCCGCCTCGGCCGCGAGCTGCCGGTTGGCCTTCCGACCGGCCAGCAGGGCTCGGCGCGTGTGCGGGGGGCCGCGGGCCACAGACTCACAGACCGCGGGCTTCGCCTTGCGGTGGCGCGAGCTTTGCCGGGGAGAGATCGCAACAGGCTATACACATCACTTGTCGCCATCACCTGCGCGTGGCGCAGATATATCAACGAGGTGCCGAACTTGTTGAGGCGCCTCCCTTGGGCCTGGCAACATGATCACTGACGAGACTCGGTTACCGAAGACGCCTACGGCGAGTCACCGCCGCCCTTTGCCTTTCTGGAAACGCCTTGGGGGCCAAACGCTGGCCAACTTCTGGCCAAGATGCTGTGTTCCCCCAGCCGCTTTCAAAACCGTTTAGGGAGCACTCCGGGCAGAAGGAGAGGAGGAAGAGGAGGACGGAGGAGGAGGAGGAGTGAGGAGGAGGAGTGAGAAGGAGAAACATGAAGCCTCTTGGGGACCTCTTGGGGCCTCCTGGGGGTCTCTGTGGAGCCTCTGATGGGCCTGTCGGGTGCTCTGGTGGGCCTCTTGGGGGCCTCTTTGGAGCCCCTCTCTTGGGGCCCTCTTGGGGTGCGTTAGTTAGTGCCGTCTTGGAGGTTAGTAGGGCCATCGTGGGGCCTCCCTGTCGGTCTCTTGGGCCGTTCTGGGGCTCTCTTGGCTTGTCTTGGGGCCCGCATGGGGTTTTCTGGGACGTGCCCGTCTGTAGTTGTTTTTGTTCCAGCAGCCCAGACCATGGCATCTTGCTGTTGTGCATCTGGTGTGTGTGTGTGTGTGTGACGAGGGGGGCGGGGTTCTGGGGCCGTCTTGGGGCTATCTTGAAGACCTCTGGGGCCATGGTCGGCTGTCGGTAACCCGGCTTTTTTGCATCTTGAGGGCCGCCTCGAGGGCCTCTTTGGAGCCGTCGTGGGCCGTCTCTGGAGTTTCTTGATGCCGTCTTGGGCCATCTCGTGGTCATGTTAGGCCATCTCGGAGGCATCGTGGCGTCTCTTGTGGCCACCTTGGGCGTCCTCGAGGCGCCGTGGGACCGTCTTCCAGGCCATGTTGGGCCATCTCGGCCATCTTGGGAGCGGATTGTTTTGCTTCTATGGTCCGCCCAGGTCCGCCCGGGTGGCTTGTCGGATGCGCAGAGTCCTCATTGCACCGTTTGGAAGGGCCCAAGAAGGCGACCCGACAGTTCAGCACGCCAAGCACGCCTTTGCAAGCAGAAGGGGTCAGAGAATCTAGTGGCTTTCGGCCCATTCCGCCGCAGTGCCTGCGTTGTGGGTCTGAGTCGCATTGCGGGATGATGATCAAGAAATTCCCGGGGGTCGTGTTCACGCGGCGGCACCAGGGATGATGATTAAAAACATCGGCCCTCGTCCAGGAAACTATGTTTTTAATCGTTTCCCCCCCTCCGCCCTCCTTGGGCCTTGGGCGCGCGCCGGGACGGCTGACGAGCCAGACGGAGCCGACGCGGAGGGTAAGGTGGAACAGGGTGGAGGGGAAAGGGGGGAAATCAACAGCAGCGGCAAGTACAACGACAAACGGATAGTATCTGCAGTTGCCATGAATAATAGGAGATGGACGATGAGGAGGTCTAGTTGAAGATGAGTTTGATGTTGTAATAGAATTTGGCATGGGATTTGAGTGGTAGTTGTACCATTACGAATTGTGGTTGGGCTGTACCAGGCTCTGGCGTATAAGCTGTAGCCGGAGTTTTACAGTCCCCACGTCGGAACTGTTCCAGGGGCTGTAATTGGAGCTGGTTGAGATCTGCGATAGGAGCCGTAGTTGGACATTTTTTTTTAGTCTCTGCAGTAGGACAGATTATGATATGTTGCATCATTGGATGCCTCTCAGGGTATCTTGCGATGCCCCTTTGGAGGCCCTTGGAGCCTCTTGGGGCCTTCTGGGGGCCTCGTGGGTGCGTTTGAAGGCCTCTTGTGCGCCTACGGGGCCAATCTTGGCACAATCGCCATCCTGGGCAAGATCGGTGGCGGTCTCAGGGGCCAGTCATCCATCTCCAGGATGGACCCCAAAAAGATATTGATCTGGTCTGGTAATGTTCAGGGAATATGGGCTGGGGTTCGTATTATCCCCCCCACACAACAGTATAGACGTGGGTGTACAACGTTTTCGGAACATGCATTGGGGTTCATCATGCTCCCGGGTTTATAATGTTTTTTTGGGGGGATTCGGAATCCCAGAATGTTGAATATGGGTTTCCTATCCGGGAGTCATGTTGGTCCAGAACTGGAATACCCCTCATGGGTTTCCTTACCCCTGGGCTCCAGAATTGCATCTTCCCCTTACCCCTGGGCTCCGTACTTGGAATATGTCGCATCATGTATGAAGCCCGCTTCATTATCTATTGGAATCTTCTAAAGCGGGCTTCATACAGTTTTGACAACGCAACCAGGCTCACTATTCCAGGATGATAATAATGGAGCCCAGGGGTCGTCGCTGGAGGAATATACCGGGTTCAACGTTCCAGAACGATGGTTCATTTTTCCAGAACGATGATGCACCTTTCCGAACTAATGAATTCGGGTTCGTTTTTCCGGAATGAGAATGATGGAGCGGTGGGGGGGTGTTTGAGAAGAGGGTCTGGACTGGTCACATCGCTGATCCATTATGTCGAAGACTTGATCACGGATTCAAGATTTCGGAATGATAGTAATGCTGCGGGGGAGAAACGTATCCATTTTCAAGGCACCAGTCCACCGGGAGTTTTCGAACGAACCTAGGTTTTCTGTTCCTTGATCGTACAGCGCGGTCCACGAGGATTTCGCATGTGTCCTCCAGGATTTTGGCACACGAGGGCTCGTGGGTCGGTTCGCCCGCCCCCCCCTTCCCCGCCCCTTACGGTGCCGCAAACAGCGAAACGCATGCTAGTCAAGATTGCGAAGGCTCTACGGCAAGTGGCGCCGTCCCTGACGGGGGACAGCGGCGGCGGCGGCGGCGACGACGGCGACGCTGACGTGGGCCAGAGTCCTCAGGGATCTTGGGGTCTCTTCGGAGCGCTTTCGGGGGCCTTTGCGGGGCACTTTTGGGGGCCTCTCGGAAGCCTCTTGGGGGCCTCTTGGGGCTTCCTGGGGGCCTGTCGGGGGCTTCTTGGAGGCCTCTTGGGGGCCTCTTGGCGCTTCCTCGGGCCCTCTTGGGAGCCTTGTGGCCTCCTGGGAGCCTCTCGGGGCTGAAGGCGCGAAATGTCCGTTCTGGGCCCCCCCCCCCTTCTGGGCACCCTCTTGGAGCCGTCTGGGGAGCCTGTTGGGCTGTTTGGGAGGCCTCGGCCGCCTCTGGGATACTCTTGGGTCGTTTTTAGGCCCTGTTGGAGGCTTCTCTTGGGCCGTCTTGGCAGTCTTGGGGCCGCTTGGGCCGGTCTTGGAGCGTCGCGAAGCCGAAAAGGCGACCAAATTTGTCCAAAACCTTGGCAGAATGAAGAAAGTGTGGCTCTTGGTGCCCTCTTGGGAGTGCTCTTGGAGGTCACTGGGACGTCTTGGGGGCATCTTGGGCCCTCTGGAGGCTATCTTGGGAGTCTTGGAACGATCGTTCGGCGATGCGGGTCCCTCTCTGACTGTCTCGGGGGCCTTTGGGGCTCCGCGCTCCGGGACCGCCCTGGGTGAGATGGCATGCTGACCCGGGACCCTCCCCCCCTGTCTGACCCAGTACCTCTTCGGGGTCTGACCTGGGACCATCCCCCAGCAGAGGAAGCTATCAAAAGGAAGGGGTTCTTCTTCGACTCAATCAAAGGGCCGCTATTATCATCCGTAGCAATATTGAACTCAAGAGTGATTCAATAGTCTTTCCAAACAATCACGTGCCCCAGCAGCAGCCAGACACGGTACACATGTCGAAGAAGACCGCAGTGGGCATCGATTTGGGCACCACTTACTCCTGCGTCGGAGTGTGGAAGAATGATGGCGTCGAGATTATCGCTAACGATCAGGGGAATCGCACGACTCCGTCATACGTCGCCTTCACAGACTCCGAGCGCCTGATCGGGGACGCGGCCAAGAACCAGGTGGCCCGCAACCCAGAGAACACGGTCTTCGACGCGAAGCGGCTGATCGGCCGCAAGTTCGCGGACCCGATCGTGCAGGCGGACATTAAGTTGTGGCCTTTCAAAGTCGAGGCAGGGACGGGCGACAAGCCGATGATCGTTGTGTCAGCATCGGGCGAAGAGAAGAAGTTCCACCCTGAGGAGATCTCCTCGATGATCTTGCTCAAGATGAAGGAGACAGCGGAGGCTTACTTGGGGTCCAAGTGCAACGATGCCGTCGTGACTGTCCCAGCCTATTTCAACGACTCCCAGCGCCAAGCTACGAAGGATGCTGGGACTATCTCTGGTATGAACGTCCTTCGAATTATCAACGAGCCCACCGCGGCGGCGATCGCGTACGGCCTGGACAAGAAGGGCAGCGGCGAGAAGAACATCCTTATCTACGACATGGGTGGAGGCACCTTCGACGTGTCTCTGCTGACAATCGAGGACGGTATCTTCGAGGTGAAGGCCACAGCTGGAGACACACACTTGGGGGGCGAAGATTTTGACAACCGCATCGTGGACTTCTGCATGCAGGACTTCAAGCGCAAGAACAGGGGCAAGGACCTCGCAGGCAACAATCGCGCTATCCGCCGCTTGCGGACACAGTGCGAGCGCGCCAAGAGGACCCTTTCCTCGTCCACGCAGGCCACGATCGAGATTGACTCGCTCTTCGATGGTATCGACTTCTCCTGCTCGCTGTCCCGCGCCCGATTTGAGGAGCTCAACATGGATTACTTCCGCAATTCCATGGGCCCCGTCGAGAAGTGCTTGCGCGACAGCGGCATCGATAAGCGGAACGTGCACGAGGTCGTTTTGGTTGGTGGTTCCACCCGCATTCCAAAGGTGCAGGCCATGATCCAGGAGTTCTTCAACGGCAAGGAGCCTAACAGGTCTATCAACCCAGATGAGGCCGTGGCATTCGGCGCCGCTGTGCAAGCTGCCATCCTCACGGGCGAGGGCTCCTCGCAAGTTCAGGATCTTCTGTTGCTCGACGTGACTCCGCTGTCGATGGGCCTGGAGACCGCCGGCGGTGTGATGACCAAGCTGATCGAGCGGAACACCACGATCCCCACCAAGAAGGGCCAAACGTTCACCACCTACGCCGATAATCAGCCGGGGGTGCTCATCCAGGTGTTCGAGGGCGAGCGCGCAATGACCAAGGACAACAACCTGCTGGGCAAGTTCCACCTCGATGGCATCCCGCCCGCCCCACGCGGCGTGCCGCAGATCGAGGTGACGTTCGACATCGACGCGAACGGCATCTTGAACGTGAGCGCGCAGGACAAGTCCACTGGTAAGTCGAACCAGATTACCATCACGAACGAGAAGGGGCGGCTGTCCCAGGCGGAGATCGACCGGATGGTGCAGGAGGCGGAGAAGTATCGCGCCGAGGACGAGACGGCCAAGCTCAAGATCGAGGCGAAGAACGGGCTCGAGAATTATTGCTTCACCATGCGCAACACCCTGCAGGAGGAGAAGCTCAAGGAGAAGTTTGAGGACGGAGACAAGGAGAAGATCGAGAAGGCGGTGCAGGATGCCCTTGACTGGCTTGACAAGAACCAGCTGGCCGAGAAGGATGAGTTCGAGGCTAAGCAGAAGGAGCTGGAGGGCATCGTCAACCCCATCATGATGAAGGTGTACCAGGCCGCCGGCGGCGGCGAAATGCCGGAGGGTGGCATGCCGGGCGGCGGTGGGAATGCACCCGGCGGCGGTGCGGGGCCCACCGTGGAGGAGGTGGACTAGCTAGCCCGTCCGTGCACCGCCCATTTTCGACGCAGGTGGGGGGAGGAGGATATTTCCGTGCGGAGGTGGTGGGGCGGAGGGGGAGAAGGCTGAGGACGGCGTGCCTTGGCGCAGGCGCGGCGCGAGCGCCCACCCCGGTCTTCGAGCGCAGACTGGGATGCGCCGTGCATCTTTTTGGTCGACCTGCTTGGCGCCTTCGGCTGCGGAGCAGGGTCGACCCCGCCTCGGCCGCGAGCTGCCAGTTGGCCTTCCGACCGGCCAGCAGGGCTCGGCGCGTGTGCGGGGGGCCGCGGGCCACAGACTCGCAGACCGCAGGCTTCGCCCTGCGGTGGCGCGAGCGTTGCCGGGGAGAGATCGCAACAAGTTTATACACATCACTTGTCGCCATCACCTGCGCGTGGCGCAGATATCAACAATGTGCCGAACCTATTGAGGCGCCTCCCTTGGACCTGGCAAGATGACCATTGACGAGACTCGGTTACCGAAGACGCCCGCGGGGAGTCACCGCCACCCTTTGCCTTTCTGGAAACACCTGTGTGGCCATACGCTGGGCCAACTTCTGGCCAAGATACTGTGTTCCCCCAGCCGCTTTGGAAACCGTTTGGGGAACACTCGGGGTAGAAAGAGAGGAGGGGTAGAGAGAGCGGAGGAGGAGCCAGGAGGGCCTCAAGGGTTTGTGCCATGATGTCGCAGGACTCCCAGGTAACCTCAAGTCGAGTGGGCCCCGCGCCGGTCCCGAGAGTCCAACACGCCCCGCGTTCTCTCGCGGGGAGGCCTCTGCAGCCTGCCGAGGCTGCCACAACAGCCAAGAAGAGAGCGCCGTGGGGGCGCCAACGATTGCCTCAGAGGGCATGTGGTGTCCCCCGCCGCCGGGACGTGCTCACCAGCCGTTTCTCTTGTGCAATGCTCAGGAGGGAAAAGAACACACAGGCACACTTAATCGTCGATTCCCCAGAAAAGATGGGAAACTATGGGAAGTGGGGGGGAAGGCAAAAACCCAGAAAATATAGGAAAATATGGGCAATATGTTTATTTGTGTGTATTTATTTGTGTGTCCTGGGGCCCCTTCAAATGCAAGCAGTCGAGCAAAACCCTCCTGTGATCGCACGGGATCTGATCAGACGTATCGTCGTGGCTCGGTGGATTGAGTTTGGCGGCTAAGATGTGATATCGTCTGCAATGCTGTTACCTCGCCCGCAAAGCAGTCGGCACCTTTCAGTAACGTGGCGCGGGCAGCCCGCAGCTTTGATTGCAGAGGCGTCAGCCTCAGACCGTGTGTCGTGAGCGTCCACTCTTGTCATCCAGCAGGAAGCAACGCGTTGTGATAAGGTGACGTTTCAGCGGTGACTGGAATCTGGGCTGCTACATTTTCACATCGTGGCACCCCATGCCGACTCGTTATCATTAGGCTGCGGACTGTAGAAACGATTCCCCGCCATGCCGCGTTGGACACCTAATACTAGATCAACGTTGGTACCCTTTTTCATTGTCGGGCCAGAAGTCGGCGGCGAGCGAGGGAGTGAAGTGAGAAGGAGAAGGCCTTCTCAGAAGGGTTCGGAAGCCCCCCGGGCTTCTGAGGAGTTGTCCAGGCCTTCCCGAAGACAACCAAAACTTCTCAGAAGGCGCGAGTTCTTCTGAGAAGTCCCGACGCCTTCTGAGAAGGCCTTCAGGCCTTTTCCTTCTCATGTCACCCCCCTCGCTCGCCGCCGGAGATGCGAGACCCCCCCCCAAAAAAAAAATCAAAAAAACGCGACATTACCTCAGAGGGCTTCTGGAAGCGCCCAGGAGTGCCGACCAGGCCTCCAGGATGATTAAAAAGAGGTGTCGGGAGGCACACAAAAGTGACGCCAAGAGAGGCCCTAACAGCCTCCAGGGAGGAGCGGAACACCATACAAATAAAAACATCGAAGGCCCCCCCCCCAGAAAAAAAAGAAGAAACACAAAAACAAGCAAACAAAAACATCGAAGGAGCCAACATGCGAAAGGCTTGTCATGACTCGTGTTTGCTGTTTCCTGGCCTTTCCGCCTACGAGAAGCATCGGGAGCGCTGGCAAGGCCTCCAGGACAACACGAGAGGGCACGAACGAGAAGACCTTGAAGACGGCCCCGACCTGCCCTGCGACTGGGCAGAGCGCTTCGCGTCCTCGCGCTGGCTGGACCACCGATTTCTCTGCTCGAGGTCCGAGGTGCCAGAGCCTGCGCATCCTCTCGGAGCGATCGTCATCGTGCGTCTCCGCAGTGCAGCTTCCTCCGCCCCTGCGCGGGGCCATCGGAGGTTCCAGAACGGTGCGGTGACCGCACCGTCGGGTGAGTCATTGTGGATTCGGGGTGACCGGGAGGAGGAGGAGGAGGAGGAGGAGGAGGAGGAGAAGGAGGAGGGAGCTTGGGACCTGGGGCGCTCTCCAAAACGATCTCGGGCGACTGGAGTTCCCAAGGTCCCAGAACCGCGCGGTGGCGGGACCGCTCGGGGAGGTCTCCTGGGGATTTCGAGGTCACGCCGCGCGGCCCGTCGCCACATGGGCCTGGTACCCCCAATGGGGCTGGCGAGGGGACTCGGATTATGATGTCCCGGTCGATGTTCGCTTTGATTACCACGAGGAATTTCCAGCACCAAGGAAGTACATGGACGGTGTTTTCAAAAAATGTCGGACCCTGGGCGGGCGGTATTACTTCGGCACTTCGCCAGCGTTTCGAGCAGGCACTGCTGCGATACTTTTCGGGGTGCTCGACATTATTCCTGGGATGTGGCCATTGAGTACGATTGAAAAAAAAAACATGTTCGGCGTCACCCCCGCCGGGGAAACGATACGTAGCACCCCGCAGTTGCGGATAAGAGTGCGGGGGCGGCGGGGACGTCGGCATTCTGCGAGGTGTTGAAGAAGCCAGCCGCAGGCGCGCAATTTTTCAGGCTATACAACAAGCCCGCCGCAGGCGCCGATTTTTTGTGAAAACAACGTAGGGGGTCGCGGGTTGGGTCGCAGGTGGGTCGCGGGTGGGTCGACGGTGGGTCGCTGGTGGGTCGCGGGCTGGGTCGCGGGTTGGTCGCGGGCCTGGTCGCGGGTGGGTCGCGGGTGGGTCGCGGGTGGGTTGCGGGTGAGTCGCGAGCGGGTCGCGGGGTGGATCGGGGGTGGGTGGCGGTTGGGTCGCGAGGTGGGTCGCGGGCGGGTCGCGGGCCGGGTCGCTGGTGGGTCGCGGGCCGCGTCGCGGACGGGACGACGACAACAACAACAACAACAACAATAACAACACGCATAATCTTCACCACGCATCCACACTTCAGCCACGCACCCAGGGACAATGAATGACCGTTCGCCCTCCTCATTTTAACACACACACACACATATATATATATATATATATATATATATATTGTAAGATGTGTATGCTGTATGTTCGGGTCGGACGCACGCCTCCAAGAAGGACACATCGCACTGTGCGTCCCAACAGAAGCTCGGAGGGCCGACGCCGAGTGCCTCGCCGCCGCGCCCCGCGCAGGACCGCATCACCAGCCGCCTCAGCTACGAGGCGCCTCGCGCCCTCTCCCGGCCCTCGCGCCCCTACCCAGGGGCCCCGCCGGCCGAGCCGCCGCTCTCGCCCGCGGCACGCTGGGCGGCTGCGCGAGGCAGAGGAGGAGGAGGAGGAGGAGGAGGAGGA